GGGAAACCAAATTCACCTACCTTCGCGTCACCTCGACGTGCTCACAGAAAAACTCGGCAGGACGAAACAAAACTCGGCAGAACGGAAGACAAGGAATAAAGCTACCTTTGGAAACAATTGCTTTTTATTCAGATTCATTTGTGGCGCGAAAAGTAAACACTGAACAAAAAGTGGCCGAGAACTGGGCCCTGCCGACAACTGGGCCCCACACTGTACATACTACTCTACAAAGTGGAGGAGATAAATAGGAAGTAGAGGACGGAAATATAGTAAACCAATGTTCAATACATGAAATCAGTATCAAGGATCACATTTCATTACTGGAAGATACAGTGAATAATTCTTACCTCAATTAAAGACCAAAAATAACAGCATCACCTAGTTATCTATCCGACATGTTGTGAACTGTCAAGAAGAAACCCGGTTGAGTCCTTGTTGAGCCCTGGGTACGATTTCGTTTTTTTGAGCCCACGATCCTCTTGACAGCGTACTGTTGGAGGAGGATTACTGGGAACAAGAAACGTCATCCCTAATGCACGTGCGCAGTCGAGTTGGTAGTTAGTCAGCAGATAAAGTTTTTCTTCACAAGAGATTCATTGTGCATTTCTACTGCAAAAAGTTATGGCACATCAGTAAGTATCAATTTATTGATACATAAATTTTTGTTAGTCTTATTTTGAACGATAATCTTTGATTCGATGTACCGATCTTTGAAGCCCAATCCACTATGAAAGAGTTATACCGCAGATCGAGTTGACATGATTTCACCGGCAGTGAATCTGAAAAAATGTCGAGTCTTCCCTTCCCTGTAAGGCAGCCCAAAAACTGATACATTTCGTTCTCGTTTTGCTTGGTATTTTTGAGGCTGATAAGTTGCCCATCAATTTGAAGTATTTAGATTTATCCTCAACCTTATGATTTTCCGTTTCTAAGCATAAGTTGTAACTGGCATGGTCCACTTCCTGTAACTTTTCTTTGTGACAGAGACGAACTTGCGACGGCTATATTGAAGAACAAGTCACGGCCTAACCGTTTGTTGGTGGAAGAGGCTATTAACGATGATAATTCAGTGGTATCTATGTCTCAGGTTTGTATAAAAAGGAATAAGCCACAGTGGATCATCCTATGTCAGTTCCTTTGTGTTTCCGTGTGTTCTGTTCTACCATTACCCGCTTTTACTTTCAGTTTTGCTTTTTCATCCGCAGGCCAAAATGGAAGAGTTACAACTCTTTCGTGGAGATACAGTTCTGATAAAAGGAAAGAAGAGACGCGACACCGTAAGTTAGATATAAGAATAATGATTCAGCATATTCATGATGAACAGTAGATTGGATTTTGCGACACGTTTTACAGACAATTCTTTGTGAGAAATTTAAATTTGCCAAAACTTCATGATCACAATTCAATTGTAAAATGTATTTGGTTCTTCTTGGGTACAGAGAAAAACCACATTTGCTGATGCTTCCTGTATAATATTTTTCCACTATGACAGACTTTGTTTTTGTGTCGGGGTCTAATTGGCTAAACTGAAAGTGCCTATGAAATGAAATATATTTTTTAACAGATATAAAGGCATTTGAGTGTTGAAATTTTTAAAAAGGTACAATTTTTTAGAAAAGTGTTAAAAAGAAATCCTAGGGTCTCAAATATCCCAAATTGGCCAGAACTAAAGGCAAGACATTTCTGGCAAACTGAGCAAACCTTGTAATGTCATAGGTTTTGCAAGAGGGTTGTTTACCGAAGACCATACAATGAAGAAGCAGGCATTTGAACCCCTAAAAATACTTCCCTCCTTGTTTGATAGTGCTTTCTATCCACCATTACTAATTCCACTCCAACTATTGAAGTATTTGTAAACTGGCATAAGTTGTGCAAACCCTGTGATGTCATTAAATCAGAAAGAGAGCACAAGCATACATGTATGTCTACCATTATGGCCTCTCTGCAAGGTTGAGGGAAAAAGCAAAGGTAGAATGGAAAAAAATAACAGCCAAAACATCATCAATACCACATAACTTTTTTATCCTACTTTTTCATTTGGTTTTGTAGGCACCTAAGCTTTAGCTCTATTTGTTTGCCAGGAAAATACTGGGAACTAATTTTATCCATCATAACTTGTCTTTGCTGTGATAACATTGTGTTGTTTATAGCATTTATATTTGAGAAGCTCTTTATCTATTTTAAATGGAAACTTATGATACACCTTAAGATTTACAGTATGTAACACCTTTCTCAAATCCAGCTACATAAGTTTTATTTGTCCCTAGTAGTAAGCCATCCATATTTTCCTAGGTCTGCATTGTATTGTCTGATGATTCAATTTCTGATGACAAAATACGCATGAACCGTGTTGTGAGGAGGAACCTCCGAGTCAGACTGGGAGATATAGTGAGGTAAAGGACGTGTTATTACATGTATTTCTGTTGAGTATGGTTCAGTGGGTGATATTGTGATATTTTTTTTACACTTTGTTGTATTTTATTTCCAGTGTTCAAGCATGTCCTGATGTCAAATATGGTAAAAGGATTCATGTTCTTCCTGTTGATGACACAGTGGAGGGGTTAACAGGGTTTGTAAAAGCCTAATTACTCACCTTGTATATTGCAGTCTGGTAGGAGTTTCTAATTTTTGTCCCCTAACAGCCTTACTGTCCTTGGTATTTAACCAATAAATTTTCATATTCATTTTTGTAGAAATTTATTTGATGTCTACTTGAAGCCTTATTTCTTGGAGGCTTACAGACCAATAAGGAAAGGTGAGCCCTTCTACTCTGTGTAGATCTACAGTATTATGCGGGGTATAGCTTTTTCCCCTTTTTTGTATTTTAAATTCCATTGAAAACTCTGTTATGTTTCTAAAGTGAGTCACTTTATGACCTTTTGTTATAGTCTTCTCCCAAAAGCTGAAACAACAACAATATCAAAACATAATAACCAAAAAAAATGTTAGTGACCCTATCCTCTTTACTAAACCAGTTATTTGCAAAGCTGAGCAAAATTTATGTTTTACATTCTGATACATGTTGTTTTAGGTGACATGTTCCTTGTACGTGGCGGCATGAGAGCTGTTGAGTTCAAGGTGATAGAAACTGATCCCACACCATACTGCATTGTAGCACCAGACACGGTGATACACTGTGAAGGAGAGCCAGTAAAGAGAGAGGTCAGTTTGTAACCTAGAACCCCCCTTGGGCTATAAGTTGTAGTAAGTCTATGCAACCATCACTGTAAGCATTTGCTGTTTCTGAAGGGTTATATTTCTTTTGTGCAGGAGGAAGAGGAGTCTCTCAATGAGGTTGGTTATGATGACATAGGAGGCTGCAGAAAACAACTGGCTCAGATTAAAGAGGTCTGTGACCATTATTATTTGATTACATGAAAATTATTTTTTGTAATTCCTTGCTACCATACTTTTGGTCTTTGATAACTGTACTTTAGTAACTAAATTTTATTTCCTTCAGATGGTGGAGTTACCACTCAGGCATCCCCAGTTGTTTCGGGCTATTGGTGTTAAGGTAAGTGATAATTGTTTGTTGTGAACATTAGATTTCAAATGCTTTCACTGACTGTACATGGTCCTTTGTGATATTTTTGTAGCCTCCCCGTGGTATTCTTCTGTATGGCCCTCCTGGAACTGGAAAAACCCTTATGGCAAGGTTTGTGTTATGTCATATAAATTGTTTGGGATTATAACACATTCAAAACAATTACTTTATTTTTATATTGTTAACATTATTTATTTCTCTCTCAGAGCTGTTGCCAACGAGACAGGAGCATTTTTCTTTCTTATTAATGGTGAGGTTTTCTTTTTCTAGGTTTTCCATTTGTTGTGTTCCTGAATTTGTATAATTTTAGAATTAAGAGGCTAATTAAACAGTCTTCCTTTTTCTCTCATTGCTTTATTTTTGAATGTGTTTTACGTACTGTATTTATCATAGTACACATTTTGATTAGTACTTGTTGTTCATTCCTGAAGAAATATCCTTAAAGTTGCACTTAAATCTTAGTCTCTCTATTAAAACTAATACACAGAGCTTCAAAAAGGAGCTACTTAGTGAGAGTGATGACATGGTCTGAGAAGGTTCATTTTGTTCTGTTCTTAAGGTCCTGAAATCATGAGCAAACTTGCTGGCGAATCAGAAAGTAATCTTAGAAAAGGTATGTGCTGGAGGTGTTATATTCATGTTTGCTCTCACCTTTTGAAGACATTATTCTTCTTTGCTAGTTGTCTAGGAGTGTAAACCTTCTTTCTCTTTTCTACAATTAGCTTTTGAAGAGGCAGAAAAAAATTCACCAGCAATTATTTTTATTGATGAAATTGATGCAATTGCTCCCAAGAGAGATAAGGTAAGACAACTTTAATTATTAACTTTTCAAATATTTATGGCTTCAGTTGGCCCTTCTTACGACCTTCGCTACCAAACTTGTTAGATTATGATGAAGGAAATACCCATACAGAGCTACTCATGTGAAACTGCTAAATCTCAGTGCTTGCAATTTTCATAGAAAAGAATGTTGCATCAGAATGGAGCCCTGTTACGGTATATTAATATTGAAGTGAAGTCCAATTTATTTATGAACGTTACAGACTCATGGAGAGGTGGAAAGACGAATTGTGTCGCAACTTTTGACTCTGATGGATGGTTTAAAGCAGAGGTCCCATGTCATTGTGATGGCCGCAACCAACAGACCAAACAGTGTTGATCCAGCTTTACGGCGATTCGGTTAGACCTGAACTGTATTTTTTTTTTATTGTATTGAGACCATCAGTGTTTGTTGATGCAAAGTGTACTTTCTCTTTCAGGCCGTTTTGATAGGGAGGTAGACATTGGAATACCAGATGCCACTGGTCGTCTAGAGATCTTGCGTATACACACAAAGAACATGAAACTGTCTGATGATGTTGATCTTGAACAGGTACAAGCTGGTAGTTGGGGCATTTAATCTGGTTAGTTTGCTGCCATTTATCAAATGTATGCTCACAGTTATTTGCATTGTAGATTGCAGCTGAAACACATGGTTATGTTGGTTCAGATGTTGCTTCCCTGTGTTCTGAGGCTGCTCTTCAACAGGTATAGTTGCCCTGATTATTCTTTAAAGTCTTCTGATGAAATGGAAGCATTTACATGTATGTTTGGTTGTGTCACCAGATTCGGGAAAAAATGGATTTGATTGATTTGGAAGATGAACAGATTGATGCAGAAGTCCTGGACTCATTAGCTGTTTCTATGGATAACTTTAGGGTGAGTACTGTGCTTGGTAGAAGACAGGCTGGGTTTCCCAAAGCACAATCCCCTGCCAGTCATAAATATGTTTGTGCAGGTTCACAGCTTTGGAAAAGCAACTTGCAGATCTGTTTTCATTTGGAAAGTCAAGTTAAGTTTTCTTTCCATTGACCATGGACTTGCATATATTGTCAAAAATACACACTGCCATTGGTCATGTTATTTCTCTTCATTATTATTTATATTATCTACATTTGTACTAGAAAACATAGAGGGCACAAGAAGTAGGGAAACTATGACCAAAAGTGTTGAATGCATCTTGGCCTTCAGAACAGTTGATGTATAAAGGCTTTAAAAGGTCTTAGTGACAATTTACTGTACATGTAAGTGTTACTAGGTTGGAAGTGTCCCCAAAGTTATTGCACTGGAATATTGATACCCCTGACCTCTAAATATCCCAATGCCTCAGCATCAACTTAACTATCATTGCTGTAATTTGTTTTGCCAGTATGCTATGGGAGTATCCAATCCCTCAGCTCTGCGTGAGACTGTTGTTGAGGTGCCAACAACCACATGGGATGACATTGGTGGTTTAGAGAATGTTAAACGTGAACTGCAGGAACTGGTGCAGTACCCAGTGGAACATCCTGACAAATTCCTTAAGTTTGGAATGACACCATCCAAAGGCGTACTGTTCTATGGTCCCCCTGGTTGTGGTAAGACTCTTTTGGCTAAAGCCATTGCAAATGAGTGCCAGGCAAACTTTATTTCCATCAAAGGTCCAGAACTTCTTACGATGTGGTTTGGTGAGTCCGAGGCCAATGTGCGAGATGTTTTTGACAAGGTTAGTGCTTCTTTATGATGAGATTGTAATTTGATCAGTGAAGTTGATATCTAGCCCCTGTTATGCCTTGCTGAACTAGATCCAGTGAAATAAATTTTTAGTTTACTCTCTTCATTTATTGAGAGTTAACTATCAACTGAAGATATGGCTAACATGCTACAATTTAAATGGTAAGATACTATATTAGGTTCTAATTTTTTTCCTCAGGCTCGAAGTGCTGCTCCATGTGTGCTGTTCTTTGATGAATTGGATTCCATTGCCAAAGCAAGGGGAGGAAATGTTGGAGATGGAGGTAATCTCTTGAGCCCCAGCTAAATCATGAAACACTTTGATCCAACAATCAAAGCTTCAATAATTTAATATTTCACTACAGTGGTTGAGATTCTCGATTGGGTTTTCAGGTGGAGCAGCTGATCGCGTGATCAACCAAGTACTTACTGAAATGGACGGCATGAATGTGAAGAAGAATGTCTTTATTATTGGAGCAACCAACAGGTTTGTGAATTAATGGTAGGAAGTGATATCTGTCAGGTACAGCCACACAAACTGTCAAGGTATATGGAATTTGGAGTTCAGAGAAAATGTTTGTAGTGTTTTCTCTAATGGTCAAATATTGGATTTGCTGCAGTGTGAAGTATTTGTTTTTTTTTTAAATAAAAGCATTGTCCTTTTTTTATTTCTTAGGCCAGACATCATTGATCCAGCCATATTACGACCAGGTCGTTTGGATCAACTGATATATATTCCTCTTCCTGATGAGCCGGTCAGTTAGCTAATATTCATATGTTATCATGCAACATGTTACAAATAAATCAACCAAGCAAAAGTTTGATAGGATTGGACTTAAGACTAGAAGAAATTTAATAAAAGGTCATTGCTTTGCATACAGGCTGAAAATAAAATTGTAGATTATACTCTTGCACACGTTGGATTTGGAATTGTATGTGCCATATGCCATGGAATTGTGAAATGTGGTTACTTGAGTTTCATTCATGATATTTGGTGGCTAATAGCAATATAATGCAGTTGCATCACTCATGTCAGATTTCATGTGCTCAGGTTGATAATCATTCTAAATTCTGTTTCACTTCAGTCACGTGTCTCCATTCTCAAGGCATGTTTAAGGAAATCTCCCATTTCAAAGGTTTGTAATAATGCTTATATTGAACCAAGTTTGTTCTCACTGCTGTGGATGTTTCCAGGCAATTGCCCAACTTCAGCTCATCTCCTTTCTTACTGTACATTTTTTCAACAGGATGTTGACTTAGATTACGTTGCCAAGGTTACTCATGGTTTCAGTGGTGCAGACTTGACAGAAATTTGTCAGCGGGTAAGATGATCAGTTTTGTTTACAACATTTTAGGGCATATTTGAGATAGAGAATATGTTCAAAGCTTCATTGTCAAGTGCATTTACTGCAAGTGACACTTAATGTTTTGGTTTAATCTTTGTTTTCTAGGCTTGTAAGCTGGCCATCAGAGAGTCAATCGAGAAAGAAATTCTAAAAGATAAAGAGAGAGCTGAGAACCCTGACCTGGATATGGTGAGAGTTTCTTTCTTTACTACAGTTGGAGTTGTGAGTTTAACACTGGATCTAAACTGACCTTCATTGGTATTACTTCTGGTGTTTTTTTTCCTGTGCTATGTTACTTAAAGTCGGACCCTAGTAATTCGAACTCTTTTATCTCTAATTCCCTGTTATTTTGAACTCAAAACCATTTCGCTTTGATTTGTTCTTCAGTCATTTACTATCAGCTCTTTCAAACTCCCACTATTTCAACTATTTTTTGATTCCCCTGAGATAGCGGGGTTCAACTGTACATTCATGGGAAACTTATTGATCTCCTAGAACTCCATATTTCTCTAAAGTGTCTGCAGTACTTTGTCCTAAGAATGATATATTTATATACAATATTGACTGAATGAAGAAATTCATAACCTTGAGAATAAATTATTGTCTTGATGTTCTCGCAGATCCTTAAAAACAACAGTAAAATACTTTTTGCCAATCAGCAAAAAAAAGAACTTTCTAAGGTTTCAATTAACTATTGCGTGCTGTATTTAGGAAGTTGAGGATGAAGATCCTGTTCCAGAGATTAGAAGAGACCACTTTGAGGATGCCATGAGATTTGCTCGCAGATCTGTCAGTGATAATGACATTCGCAAATATGAGATGTTTGCCCAAACCCTTCAGCAGAGCCGTGGATTTGGTGGAAATTTCAGGTCAGTGGTCTTACAGGCCATGTTATCAACACTTGATTTGCTTGTCTTAATTTGATGAGCAACGACCACATCCTAACTGGCCAGAAAATCACTCTAATTTTTTTAGAAACATGGGCTTACACATTGCACTGAAATTGATAATAGTTTAAGGGTTTGCTGAAACCGTGTAGGCTTGACACAGTCTGGATTCTTGAGGTGGTCTTCTTGGTGGCAGTAAACATTGCAAATTGCAGGTTGTAAGGACAACCCAAGAAAAATGCTGGGGAGTGTCCCGCGAAAAGGGCAAGCATTCTGGCATGACATAGGACCATGTACTCTATCATATTTAGTTTAGAGAAAACCAAAGTGTTTGAGTATCAAAAGAACTGAATCTCAGTGTTGATCTGTTATGTACCACTAACTCGTGAACATTTGATATTTATTTCGTCAGGTTTCCAAGTCAGTCAGGTGGATCTCAAGGGGGAGGACAGGGTGGTTCTGGAGCAGACAATTCTAACTTATACGATGATGGAGATGATGATCTGTACAGTTAGGACAAACTGTGTGTTCAGTTCAATTGTTTTGGAAACAAGACTTGACAATATTCGCCTGCATATTAGATTGTCAGTATTTCTCTTAAACACATTATTTGTGGGTAACTTACTGAAAAAGTGATTTGCAATATAATGTAGAGCTTAGCTTCCAAATTTCAAATATGATGTACTAGATGTGATGCATATTTAATAAAAATACAGTCAGAATCTGAGGTGTGGTGATATGTGTGATATGTGTGCATGTGATTTGTGAGGAAGTTAGTCTGCTGGCAGCCGGTTTTTTCCTCTAAGGGACACTTAGATGAGTGTTTAGCTATTGCAAATGCAAAAAGATGGTATGGCTGAGAGGGAATAAGGTGAGACATGCTCATGTCTCGTCCCATTCCCCTTTAGGCTAAAGCGTCTCACCTCATAACCCCTGCTGAATTTCGAGAGGAAAACAGACTGCCAGCAGTCTATAAGAAAGTAAGCCAAATGGTTAGATAGACACTGTAATTCTATTTTTTGGGGGGAGAGTGGGAGGAGTGGCAAGCTCATTCAACCCACCCTTGCAAAAAGTATATAACATGGCATTTACCTAATAATACATATTGCACATTGAACAAAGCCTAAACTTTCTTTTGTCTGTGGGCACTTTGCTTCACTGGCTTGCTCATGGGATGAGTAAGTCAACAGTTGAATAAATTTTATAGTGACCATTGTTTAACAGTCATTTAACATTATTAGATTACAAGCTTGAGATGTCTACAAGGAAATATTTGAGTTAGCAGTCAGTCTCATCAACTATCACCTCATAGAAATCTAGAAAGAATCTAATTTTTTTAGTACAAATCTACTAGCGTTCTATCATGAATGCCATCCTCTGATTGGTTATGCTACTTGCTATTTATCCTGTAATATATAGGAGAATCTTTGTTTACAATATTTGCCTCATTACCATAAGCGATACAGTTTCTGATGGAGCTACAAAGAGATTAATACTGAATATTGAAAGGACACGGCATGATTAACTGTCCCAAGGAATTTGAGCGCAATGTATTGAGTACTTTTTGTCCGATGTGGGTTTAAAAGCTCAAAATTTTACAAAGAATGTATGAGCTCATTAGCGCTTTTGCCACACAAAAATTTTGATGTTTTTGAAAGCCAGTTTCTCCTCGAATATTACACCCAAAGAGCCAAAACTTTCACCACTTACTATGTTTCACAAGCTCTAAGTTTTTCTAGTAAAATCATGTCTAGCATGATGCCTTCTATGGGCAAAGTCGTATGTTAATGAGGAAAAATGTAAACAATGACATCAGCAAAGATTCGCTTATAGTGAGTAGGGTAGCAGTGTGCCCTTGTTTATGAAATGACGGCCTCTTCTTGGCATGTTTGAGATGTCTGTGAAGAGGATTTAGATAAAGTTTTGAATGATTAGTAGATTTGCACCAAAACAGCTAGATTATTCGTTCTTGATTTCTGTGTGATAATTGCACCCTCGTCAACTATCAGTTGATAGACATCAAGAGCAAATAATCTTATTGTTCAGTGGAATTTCAAATAGTGATTTCCAATAATTTGTCTTCATATAAGTAGTGCTAAATTTAGTTTTTTCGTAAAACCATGCACAGGCTAAATTCATTTTAAACTTGGAGAATGAAACTCTTTGGTTCTTTCAACAAATTATTTTAATGTTTCATAGTTGCTTAGCTAAGCCTATTAGATTGCAGTATTTGCAGTAGAATACAAGTCAGCATCTACTAAAAGGATTTTTAACCCTCTTGACAGTCACACAACACCCATTCTGAAAGTAATTTATCTTTATCAGGTTTAATTTCACCTTTTAATGGTGCAAATAAAATTACTGTTACACTGGCAGATTATCCAAATTCTGTCTAGCTTGTCTACAGGTTCCTTAGAGGGAGGTACAAAGGCACAAAAAACTCCTTCCTCCACAGTTCTTGTGGCCTCACTATGGACTTTGTTCACTGTCCTGACACAACATTCTTGCACAAGACTGCTCTCAGTCAACAGTACACAATTTAAATCAGTTTTGCATGGTTACGCAACAAAACTAACAGTAGCTTGTGTTGCTGGTTACCATGTGTGTAATCCATAGCATCACTTCTTGGATTTTGCATTTTTACCCAAGAGTTCAAACTACTTAAACAGCATAATAGGGCAAATTCACTCCTCAAACATCCAAACACTTTATCATGAGTACCTTTTAGTGTGTTTTAAAAGGCCATATTTGGTATTTTCAGTATTGAACTGGAACTACAATGGGCGACAAAAGTAGCTGAGGCACTTAAGGAAACCACGCTTTTCGATACTTAAGCACTTGTTCTATTTTATTTGCATCTAGTGTTAATTCTCTGATACCCCAGCCCCTCAATTCAATGTTTTGTAGGCGCTGTGCTCTGTGCAGTCTAAGAAATGGAAAAATCAGCATTGTCTGGAGGGGNATGTTGTGTAGGCGCTGTGGTCTGTGTAGTCTAAGAAAAAGAAAGTTCAACATTGTTTGGGGGGAAGGTGAATGTGTCCAAGATGCTCGAAAATTGAATTTAACTGCCAAGTGTCTCAACACTTCTGTCGCCCATTGTCTTCAACAGTAAACTTGTTTTTTTCTACAATAACTGGTGTAGTACTCAATTGAAATGTCTGCCATTGCTTTATTCTGGGATTTGGGTTCTTTTCATGGGAAAATTATGGCAAGCTTACTCAGTACAAACTTTAAGGAAGAAAATTGATTAAACTTTTCTGGAAGTTTAATCTTGCGTGACATGCGTGCGTGACATCGCCAATTTAGAGTGTGGGTTATCTCCACCTTATTTCTCTCCGAAAAAGGAATGAGATAATAAAGTAATTGTTGAATTAGAAACTACCAGTGGTACTCCCAAAGCAGGCTATCTTGGAGTAATTCAAATGACTGCTGTACAAGAAAATCAATGGATAACTGCAGTCAACCACAGGTAACCACGAATTGACTAAGCAATATTAAGAGTATCCTTTTAACCATCATTTGGTTATCTATGGTGGTTACTCGTGGTTACTGGTGGAAAAAACTGCATTTATCTGCATTAAACAATCGTTATTCCAAGCTGAACTGAAAATGGAAGCACAAACTTTGTACAATAGCAATTAAATTGAAACACTGTTATAAAAGTAACTTTAAGGCTCAGAAGGCATGTTTTTATCAGTTTTAGCGACGACAGTTTACCATGTGTAATGACATCATTTTTATATCACACTTAAGTGTTTGAAGCACTCTGTTCAGCAGACAAAATTACAAAAGATAACTTGTTTTATCACGCTTTTGAACTTTGTGTCATGAGGTCTCAATGTGTTATCAATAGTAAAGTATTAAAAATAGAATAAATTAATTAACTTTTCTATACAAATGGTTTACCAATGGGAAACCTTTGGAAATTCGCCCAGTAAAAGTTGAAAAGCACTTAAACCATCGGTTAATATCAAATTTTATGTGATCAGTACAATGTCATTATTAAAACAATATGCACACCTTACTGTGACGTCATCTTGAGGTCATCTGTGATGGTAAACCATTGTATTGAGGTCAGACAGAGAGATTTTAGCCAAAGAACGGTATAATTTCTGTTTTTTCGCCAAAATATAACAACTGAATAGGGAAAAGCTTGTAGCTATCGTGTCATAGTGGAGGATTGCGTTGAATGAAAGTGATAAAGACACTCTTTGAATGCTTTAAAAGTGAAAAAGTAGCGATAAACACCACCTTGAGGGTTAAATATGGATCAATTTTGAAACGGGATAGACCAGGTTTTGTCTCTGTATCTATATTTTGGTGAGAAAAAAACACTTGTCACTTTTTCTTTAGTCACAAATCACTCTGAACCACGTATTTAGTCGCTTTTGTAAAAATTAACTTGCTAGAGGTTGGATATATAACTGAAATCACCACAATTTACATAAATATACTCCAGACAATGGGAGACAAAAGTAGTTGAGACACTTAGGAAATAACACTTTTCGATATTTAAGCACTTGTTCCATTACATTTGTGTTAAATGTTAATTCTCTGGTTCCCCCAATGTTGTGCAGGTGCTGTGGTCTGTGCAGTCTACGAAATAGAAAGTTCAACATTGTCTGGGGGGGGGGNGGAGGGGTGAAAATGTGTCCAAGACACTTGAAAATCAAGTTTAACTGCCAAGTGTCTCAACACTTGTGTCGCCCATTGTAGCTTGTAATGGAGGCTTATGCCAGGGAATATCATTAAAAAGAGATTATTTTCATTTGTATTTGGAAAGATTCCTCACATTGGCCTCAGTTCCAGGCTACCCGTTAGTTGCAGCCCAATACTGACAATGCAAATATCAGGTTTATTATACACTTGCTAATGATAATTAATTTATTTACTTTTTTAAATTTATAATCTTGTCTAGTACTCTCATGGGAATGACAAACCACTCCAGTCACCTCAGGAGTATTGGTTTGGACAATGTCCTCACAGCTATGATAATAAGTTAGTTTATTCTCAATGACTGGCTAGTCACTACAGCTTTAGAAACTGATGAGTAACCTCATAGATTCCAACAGCCTCTGAAGCTTTCTCATCATAATCAGACCAGTCCTGCAGTAGAAAATGTACATTAAATTAGCTAGGTTGCCTTGGGAACGGTTTTCCTTAACTGGAAACTCTTGAAACAACTAATAGTGTTGAAACAAATGACCAGGGGAAAACTGGAATTGCTTTTGTTCAGGATATTTTGGTCTGTTCTTTTTGATGACTTGGATGCTGATCTATTACCTTCTCTGTTAAATTCACTTCCAAGAACTTTGATCCAGAATCAACACCTTCAGCCACAAATCCACCCTGAGCACAAGACATTGAAAACACACTTAAATGAGATACCTGAGAAATTCTGTGCTGCATTTACACACCAAACAACAAGCCTGAAGAGGCTTATAACCAGGCAGTGCAAGATTAAATTCTTTATGCTTAGAAATTCAACTGCTTTGTCGCTTCAAAAAAGAAAGATTTTCTGTTTCCCAGTGTGATATCAGATTATTTGCATTAGAGTGAAACCTGTATTAAGTGGACCCCATATTAAGCAGACACCCTCTATTCAGCAGATACCACCTTGAGTCCCTAAATTTTCTTCCTACATTTACTGTAAAATAAACCTGCATTCAGCTGACACCTCTGTTAAAGCATACGCGGACACTTCACGGGCATTTTACCTCTAAAAGTTCAGCCTAGACTCGTTTAGCATTGTTCAACAATGTTGTTTTAAAGCTAAGTGATTATTCTAGATTGATGCATTGACTGACTGGACATTGTGCAGAATGAAGCTTCACTCTGTTGTTACTATTTATCAAAATTAGCATTTTCTACTTATTTTAAATTTAGCTTCCATCACTTTGTACTTGGATTAACTGAGGATGACAGAAGTTTCTGTCGAAACGTTTTTTATAAACTCCAACGTTTTGTTGTTTTCTTAAAATTCTTGACTTGTCTGCTACTATCAAGACCCTTTTTAACTTTTATATGAATGTTCAGCGAAACATGACATATACAGCCGACATATACTATTGCATAACGACCGAGTTTGAATACAGGAAGAGTGATAATGACAGTCATTGGCTGTCGACAATCGATGCTGACTACCCCCATCGGGCTTATTATAGCTACCCGACGTACTATGCAAACCACAGAAACTATGGGAACCTCCAAATAAATGTTTCGTACCGAAGGCACTATGGACTGAATTGCATAGCGAGTGAACTGACGTGGAACTTCAACATCTCTTCTTTGATTCTAGGGAGGAATTGAGTTGGCAGGGTTGTTTTCAGTGGATTTATTTGCTTTGAGTGGCAGGCACTCCAGAAATCAGTGTACGGCCTTGTCTTTCATTTAGCAAAGAAATGTTGAGTGGTTTTCCTTATGGTAGAACCCAACATGTAAGAGGCATGCCTTCTAGCATCGTTAGTTTTATATACTATGTTTCCACATGGTTTTTTATGTCATGTGATGTCAGGTAGCACCACTTGCCCCTTTTTAGTGCAAAAGTGAAATGTACCTTTTAGAATTACTCACAGGTAGGCTTTTGTACATTATGCTAGATTTTTACAAGCATTTTAGTGCAACAAAAGCATTAAGCATTATTCGAGAATTTTAGTGGCATTTTCCCGGAAAATTAATATTGTTTTCCACAGAAAATAGAAATAAAAATTATTTTTTATGAGAAAATGAAGACTTAACCTCTTCACTAACGTATCACTGAGAGGGGACATTAACAGAACAACAGATCATTTAGAGAATTATCTTTTGGTGTATTAAAACTATAACATCTGCTGTTGTTACAGTGCATTTACTGAAACCGGGGCCACCCAGGATATGAAAAGCGATCAGATGGCAGAACTGAAACAATAAATTCCAACATTTTCAAATCCGGCCAATCAAATGCCCAGTAAAAAACAATGAAATCTAAACTTGTACGTTGTGATGCTTACACAACTACGGTGTCTGTTAATAAATTGTCAAGCTCAAGCTGTTAGTACTTTCGCATTAAAAAATATTGTGTTACTTTACTTGTTACATTTTACATTTACGAACTTGAAAAACTCACTAGATTGACCGTTTTCCAGCTGTGAAGTACAGCCACACAAAATATCTTTTTTTACGGTTGATAAAAGATTTTGACATTTTTTACAAAGTAAATTCTGCTCCTGCTGTCTGTGCATGTTTCTATTTTCACACACCTTTCGGTTGTCCACCACGTAGTTCTCGAAAAAACCAATGCGTTCACTGTCTCAGGAGCTCCACATTTTGGAGTTTGAGCTCCCTTTCTGGGTTATCAGTCTATTGAAATAACATCTTCATGAAAATTCAAACGACTTTTTTTTTTCCACATTGTACTATCGAAGCCTCAGCCTGTAGAATCACCCTAGCAAAAACAAAAGACAAACGCATAGGAACTTCCCCTGGATGGAAAAATCGAAGATATTGCGAACAAAGAATTCAGTTTTGTAGTACGTTAACTCTTCAATTCTCCTGCTTGAAGTTTGCTTTCAGCTCCTTTCAGTTACATTGAAAATAATCCCTTTCCAATTCGTATATTTTGAACCTGCAAAACTGCTCAGAGATCATTTGAAGGATTTCTTTTAAACAGCCGCGACAATATTCACCCAACACACTCTGTTGGCGATATATATTTATGAGTCACACTCTTACACAGCATGTATTTTCCAACCAACCAACAACCCCATAGAGAGTGTAGCATTATTCTTCTTGAATCTGCAAGCATGTGAAACTACAAACGGTTTGAGCTTGGCAATTTATTATTATTATTATTAAGCATCACAAAGAACAAGTTGAAATTTCATTGTCTTGTACTGAACATTTGATTGGCTGGAATTGAAAATGGGACATTTGATTGGCTGGATCTGAAAATGTTGGAATCTATTGTTTCAGTTCTGCCATCTGATTGGTTTTCACTGTCTGGGTGGCTGCGGTTTCAGTAAATGCACTGTAACTTGTTATACTAAGTATACATTTTTGTTAAGCACTCTGAACTGTTAATTGTGTTGAAACGTTAAAATTATTAACATGTTAAAAAACCTCATGTATGAGCATTAACCCAGCATTTTAGTGACTTTTTTGGGGGGGAAACTGAGCATTTTAGTGGAAAAAATGGAGCGTAAGGCGGAGCAAAAATTAAGTTCATTTTACAGTTCAAATAAACCTCGTTGTTGATGTTGTTTGAGCATTTTAGTGGGGAAATAAAAGCATAACGTACAAAAGCCTACCACTGGTCGGTTCAACAAATATCATCTGCTGTTTTCAAACTGCAATAGTATGTTGGTCAGGGTTTAAATAAAGAAGGGAAATGTATAGCCTCTCCTTAGTGACTTGTTTATTTCTTGCCTTAATTGTGTCTGTAAGAGAGACCAAAAAGTTCCCGCATTACTGGCTTCAATACTCTGCAAATTGTAAATTAGTGACAAAAGAAACCAGGAAAGTGCTCAAATATTGCTGCAGACTCCGTGGCACCCAATGAAGGCACAAATTAATTTAATCAGTCTTTGAGGAGACTTGTTTACCGATGCAGGATAATAGAGAGTTTAAGCATGACGTTTATGGCAGACGGCAAACAGCAAAGATTACCTCTGATTTTTTATCCTTTTCTTCTAATCCCTAAATAAATCACACAAAAATAGAAAAATACCTCCTACTATTCACCGCAAATACAAAAATTTTCACTCTGCTGTACAGACAGCTGAAGACAGAGAGCAAAAGTTTCATTTTTGCCGTTTGTCGTAATGTCATGCTTAGTCTCTCTAATATCGGCCAAGTAGTGCTGTTACCTTCAATACTTCTTGTTGAAACGCTTCTCAGTTGTATCAATTAATATTGTTGTGTATTAAATTTAGTATTATTTTTGAATTGCTTTATTATTAACAAAGGTGGCAACAGAAAAAGAAAGTGGTATTCCGTGACTATCTGATAATTAAATTAGTTCTTGTTCATCAGTGATAAGAAAATATGCATTTTGAGAAAAAACAAAATCATTTCTCTTCCATTTCTTTGTCAGATATTTAACTTTCTTTCATTTATCCCCAAAAACTAGCACATCTTCCGTGTGTTTTCGAGAAAACAAGGGTTTCATGTTACATACCTTTGTGAAGAAAACAAAAGTATCAAGTTACAAAGTTGGCATGAAGAGCTAAATTGTCACGTTTGTTCAACATATTATTGAATTCAAAAAGAACAAAAATCACCATAAAACACCCGAGTAACATTTAAAAGCTGTCGTGACAAACAGTAATTGAACATAATTTTTGGACCTTGAATGAAAACACAACCTTGAAACACACACACTGTTAAAGGGTAAAGCCCTAGCAGACTACCCAGGTAGATACAAACCGGAAGTGAACCGAGCAGGTATGAGTACTTATGGGACTACCGTGCCAGAGCTATCAATTGCACTGTACACTATCTGAGATTGTCTCACTAGTTGACCTTGTTTGTTCAAGGTTTGATTGGTTCACTGGTTTGTTTGCCTTCTTTGAGATTGGCCAAAGTGATTACTTTGGTTTTTGGTTTTTACAACACTCAGTTGAAACCCACACTCAACATAATTAGTTGTGCAATTTGAAGGCTGTCCAAATGAGAGCATAGGCTAAGTAACTGACAAACGAAAAAAAAAAAACTGCGAGTAAATGTGCTGCTGGGCTCCAGGCTGTATGAAGGAAAATACTTAGCTCTTACTCTATCTAATACCAAACAATAAAAAACAGTCTACCACTCAGCAGCCTTCCCCCCACCCCCCCCACTACTGAAAGGTCACTGTTATGTCATTGTAATAACTATAAAAAAGCTTCCCACCCTTGGGGAGAAGTCAACTGGTTCCAATCCTCTGCAGTCAAATGCTACCATTGTCTTGAACTTGTTGCTATCATCTGCCTGGCAAAAAATAAAATCAGCGATGCGTTGTCTGACTTCAACTTAGTAATCATTCAGGGCCTGACATGTCAAAAAATTGTGGTACAGTACTAGCTTCATACTGGTAAAACTTGTCAGTCAACATTAAACAAAACTATCCATAGAAATACTTCTAAGCTGAGCATTAATCATAAGAAAACATTACGTACTAAATTACTAGTGGTTTTCAGAATGGCCCTATGCAAAAATAAAACTAATGTAATAGCAATTTAACTTGGAAATATCTTGGTTCCTTATTGAGGGGTAACAGTATTCACTATAGAAAGTCTGTGTGCAGTAATGTTGCAAATTTGTAGTAATTGTTAGTAGTAGGATTTGAAAGTGAGGTCATCCTGCACTGGCTTGCAGTCATCAATTTTGGGCAGACAGCAGTTCTTAATTGATATTGTTACCATGGCTTTGTAGGTATCTTATTACGTTTGAAAACTGAAAAAATGTAAATATTTAACATAGGTAAGTCTTGTATTTACCTTGTATGCAGTAATACTGTCTTTTATTATATCTGTTAATTGCAATAAGAATTTGCACTGTTTACAAGGGCAAAACTTCGAACTTAATTAATAATAACAGCTAGTCCTTACAAATGCATAACACATTGTCAGGAATGTCTCAATGTGTTTTACAACTTTCAATCACAAGGAAATTATAAACATATAATCATAATAAATTCTTTTGGCAGAAGTTTTCTTACAAAGATGAGGTCTTGTTGCACTCTTTTCATACCTCAACAGAGGTTAGGTAAATCGCTCAACAGTTTTACTGTCAGCAAAGAATTACCCTGGCCCATAAGTGGTTAATTTAGTTTTTTTAGTTCAGCACTGGCAAACAGGTTTAGTCCAGCAGTGTATACTGAAATAGACAATCTTGATTTACAAGCTGAAGCTGATCTAACAGTTTTTGGTTACTGGTGCATGTAAGCATTGAAAAAGCATTATTAACTTGTGTTTATTATTACCCTATAAATCATTATTATTAACTTATGTGATTAAATTCAATTGCTGTAACCATTATAATTTGCACATTGAACAGTCAAGTCATTAGACACCACACAAGTGTCACTCCAAGACATATAGAGGTTACTGGTAACCAAGCATGAGGGCATGATGGTCAGATATTGGCAAAGTTCCTTTTTTAATGTTTAAATGTGCAATGAAAGAATGATGTCAATATCCAGCTAGCTTGACCAAACAAACCTGGTCAATAAAGGATTTATTCTATGGAAAAATAATGCTATCTTCTGGCAGGACACAGCAGGTAATCCCAAGCAGTCAAGATGGCGCCATCTTACCCACTCGTGTAGCCAATCATCTTGCCCACTGATGGAGCTAGCCATACCATAACTAAATGTAGAATTTCATCCTCACAAGCAAATTTTTTCATAAATCAAAAACTCAATTATTTCATAATTACGTATGGTTTTCTTACCCATTGAGTTCTCTCGACCACACAATTTACATTTTGATACAAAGCTTGCACTGCCCCTGCTACCTTTTATTGCCTGACTTTCCTGAATTTAGGAAAAATATTAAATATTACTAAAATTATTATCTACATCAACAACAACTCAGTGAGTTCTTTTACATTTTTTGTGCTTTCTTGGGCTTACTGTTCATGTATTTCACAAGACGAAACAAAATTGAATCAGTCAAACTAGCAGAAATATGGAAAATATTAAGTGTCAGAACAGTTCTTATTAGATTATGAGAGTTATAACCTAAAAGAGGAAGAATCCAAGGAAATTCAATGTCTACTGTAAACTCCAAACTATGAGCTCTTTGTAACTGTGAAAACAGATCATTGTCTTTGTTTACAATGGGGATTGCTGAATATCAACTTACAGCAAGCAGTGATGGCAAAAAATTCATTGGATTGTCTGATACGTTGCAGATACTTAAAAATCTAAATTTTGCAAAATGAATACTTCCAATGACATGCATGATAAAGAAAGACAGAAAAGAGAAAGAAGCAAACACTGTCATGGCTTAAAAAGTGCACATTTCACAAAACAAAAGCCTAAGGCTCTTGAAATAAGTGCTGCCATAACCAGAGTTATCAAAAACAGCTGGCTGTCACTGAAAATTGCCATCTACTTCCTAATGTTGACCTGCTTCCCTGCAGGGTATTTTGTCTGATTTTTTGAAAAGAGATGACAAAATCTACCGTCTACTCTAACAATGAATCAGCTGTCTACTTCAAACTTTATGATATCCTGACTATAGCTCAGGTTTTCAAAATGAGAGCCACAGTTTTGTTCTGTGCTCAGTGTTAATTTTAAGAGAGGAGCTTACTCAAGTAAATAAGGTATATCCCTTTTCAGAATTCACTAGTTTGAATTGTTTTAAAAAGGAAATGTACCATGGACATACCGATAGACACATATAAACCCAATCCTTAGTACCTTCTCCACAATTCTGACACTGCAACTAAAGAGAAACAGGAAGCAAGTTAAGATGATTTCCACAGAACATTCGAGCAATAACAGCAAAAATAAAGTTACCAAAAGAACCTCATACATGTAGCATGGTAGTGTTTCGAATAAAGATAAGAAGAACTTATTGTGACCTTCTCAAGCTGACTCATGAGAGAAAACTGTACTTGAAGTTAACCACATTTCGATTTAAAACAGACGTTTCGTGTTAGTTGAAAACACAATAACACACACTTTGAGCATTCTTATGAGGTTTGACATTAATGTTTTTGAGAATGCTTGAGAATTTAATAGTGGGGTCATTCAGAGAAATTAATTAAAGTGTGATGTTTTAAATAGTACTAAAAAAGTTACCATGCTGTGAGTAGGTTTTTAGTACCGATAAATAATTTTTGCAGTTATTGCTTGAACTATGGGTGGAATCAGTCTTAATAACTTTCTTTATATGTTGCTTTCTAATAACTGTGGTATAAATATGACATCAAAACACACACACACACACACACACACACACACTCACACACACAAAAACACAAATGCTATTCCTTAATAATTTTCTACCTTTAGTCATTATTGTCCATGTACCTAATCTAAAGTGAATGGCACCAAGTATGGCCAATAACAGATGCCTTGATTACAAAGGATCCGATTGTACAATGACTTGATGTCATTCATTCAGCTTAAGCTTATATGCATGCCTTCAAATTGTCAACTGTGTTTGATGTTTACACCCCACTAAAAACCTTAATATTGAATATACGATTTCCTCTGTACAAGTCTCGCATTCGAATGTTTCATAAGACTGTAACACTTTACCTTCAAGTACCAACGAAAGTCTTCATCATCAGGCCTTACATTGGTTAAATTTTCCAGACTGGCCTTGAATTGTAAGGCGATACGCTATACACAAATTATGATCTTTGATTAGTAGCGTTCAGGCTATGAAACATCTTAACGGGGATATCATTAGCGCTCATGGGTCTATCTGAGGAAACAGATTAAAATATACAACGCAAAGCCTTGACTTGGTACTCACCACCATCTTACCACGACAATTCTGCGCCTGCAGGGGAAAGTGGTCAGCAAAAAACGTTCATGTTATGCGCAAACCTTATGCGTAAAGTGTTTTCAAGATGGCGTACCACAGATTTCTCGCTCGCACGATCATGGTAGAAAATGGAGTAGCATCGGCTTTGAGATCTTTAAATCGTGTGCTTACACAAGAGAACATCACGAGAGACATCCGTTTGAAACGTTACTACGAGAAACCAACCATAAAAAGGCGACGAGTGAAGTATGAAAGTGCCCTGAGGTTGTACAACTCGGAGATGAAGAGGAAAGTGGACTTTCTAATGGAAAAACAAAGAACAGAAACTCCATGGACTTAATGATCCACTTACACTGAAACAAGTGTCTGCTATGATGACAGTCATTATCCTGCAATGCCATTCCATGCAACAATCAAACTAATCAAGTTATTCCTAGCAGAAAACCATTATGTTTCTTGTTGTTCCTTCACGTTATTCGTTCACGTGCACACTGATGGACAGGTGGGCGGATTACAAACGGAATATCACGTGGCTTCCTTGTTTGAGATGTTGACTTGAGACAACTCTTGGATGATGGATAATGATGTAAATAGACAATGAACGGACATCAGAGGTTCTGTTCTGTATCAAGTTGTAATTATTATTTTTTTATATCAAAAGCATTGGAACTGAATGGGTCAAGGAAATAAAAGCAGACACTAGTTTTAGTTGATACCAACTAGTAAAATTTCTGAAGTTTTAATAAGTGTTATTAAAACAAGTTGTTCAACAATGTTCAATATTGCAGCCATGTTCTTTATTGAAAATAATCCATGCTGTTTCAGTTGGGCTTAATTTCTTTCCATGTCAAGGTTATGTAGCAATATCATCTAATCTATCTATTTTTTTACGATAACTGGAGAAATTTTCGCCTGCTCATTGGCTAATTTTTATTGGCAATAAACGGACAGACACATGAATTTATAATTTATGCGATGCGTGAATGAGCGAGAGCAGACAAATTGAGAATTTGTTATCGTAAAAAAACAAATTGACGTTAGTTTTTAATGAGTCTGTCCTGTTATTGACAATGAATTTCGTCACAACATCGTCAAAGTAGTCTGCGGATCCACACGGCTATTGCCTCGTGGATCCACAGCTACTTTGACAGTGTTATGACGAAATTCATGATCAATAAGAGGACAGACACATAAAAAACAGACGTCAATTTGTTAAATTTATTATAAACGTCGTCGTCGTGCTTACCCGGCCACGGGCAATACCGCGAGCCATGATGTGCTCCGCTTTGCGGCTCTTCGGGCCGCTGGAGTTCCGCATTAACATCAGTAACACTAGAGTCACCATTTATGACCGTTTATGTGGACTGAAGGACACCAGATAAAATAAGTAGCCAAGACGATGACTGTCCATCGAGAAGCGTCTTATGCCAGCGGTCTGATAAAGAACTTTAGCAGGTCTTAGCAACACAAGGAAACCATCCTGCAGTTGACCATGACCTCTCAAACTGTAACAGCCGTCTCTCAACAACAGGAAAGAACAATGAAAAAGTTCCCACGACTCATCTGAACAGCCGTTAACGTTACACAACGTGTACATGTGGCTACGAGTCAAATGCGGGTTGATTTGATCGATCGAACGATCGATCATTGATTTATTGACTGTGAGAGTAAATTGTGTTCTATACTGTAAGATGGAAACGGGTGGAGAAACAATATCAGATCAAAATCGGTCGGCAGACTCGCGAACTAAACCGAATATGTATATAGCAAATACTGGAATCTACTCGTACACGGCATCCAAGGACTAAATTTGGGATGGTGTAGTGACGTACCTCTGCATGGGGACGAGATAACCACCACTCTTTGCCCAAACTCGACCAAACCCCTTCGCATAAACCGACACAGGCAATTACCAGTGGCGTGGAAACCAATGAAAAGCTGTTTTGTCATCGCGCCGGCGACTTAGTGAGAAGGGTCTCAGACAAATCTTCCACTATTTTGCGCCGTTTACTCCAGACCGACCCCATTACAAAGCATATGGGAGTCATGGCGATTATCAGAAGACCGTATCAAAGAAGATCTGCTACATTCACGAGGACGCACCAGGTAAGTGTTGTAATCACAGTTTTATTCACAAAATATAAGCATAAATATTTCACTTTGATCTCAAGTGACATTCCTTTTTATGGTATTGTTCTCGGAATGTCGAACTAAATATACATACACCCTGTACAAATGCTGAAGAAAGAGAATATTGATATAATTGAATTGTTTTTTAGATATCCTTGACTAATCAACCGAACTGCTGGTCGCATTCCTCTTATAGACTTTATTTGCTCGTGTAGTTTGATAGAAATTTATGATTAGTTTTTTGAAACTTGATAACTTACAAAGTATAGTAAAATAATTTAAATTTAAATGTTCGTTTCAGGAAATAAATTTTTATTATGCATGTCTGGGCTGGTCGTGCGGCATGGTGACGAAAGTGGTAAATTAGGGCGCAATAATCCGAGGTTTGGATGAACTGTCGCAAGGCTACACAGTAAGATGCGCATATTATTGGCTTATATGGACAATTCTTGCAATTCATACTGTAGACAACACACGTTAATCATCCATGGATTGACTGACTTTAGCACAGGACGTTTGTTTTTAATTTTATTAAGTGTCTTTGTATTTCTATATAAACTTGAAGACAGAGATCTGTCCTATAGTTAGTAGGTTATATGCTGGCTAGAAATCTTAGTACAGAGGGACTGACCACAAGGGCCAAATTTGCGCTCACCACAGTCCCTTCTCAACACAGCTCAGATCTGTGTAGAAGTGGCATGTCCTAACAAAGCTGCACATTAGCTAAACGTCTGATGTTAGTGAGGTGTTTGGCCAGCCACTTGTTAAGTGGTTAGCAATGATTTGTGAGAAAAAGGCATTCAGATAATCTGGGAACTTTTGTTTGACCAAGTTAATGCTGAAAAGTTCACGCGGCATATAAACCAGGTAATTTCATATAATAAAAGCATTTATATTAATCGACATAAATGAATAAAGAACATTAATTTTTACTCTGTATGTTACTGTTTACTCTTCTGTCCATCATGCTGTTGTGGTATGTGACAGTTTTATTTTAAATTATTTATTTTTCTCTGACAGCTGTTTCACTAAGTGTATTACTCTTTTTTCTGCCAGGAATTTCACTGTGTCGTGGCTCGAACTGACTTTGTATTTATCGCTCTGTTCCAGCCCAGTTTCGTGTCTTTTATCTGTCGAGTTTAACTTTGGGTTGCTCCTAAATGACGTCTGTTATTAAGTGATGGACAAGCAGCCAGCACAGAAGTGTTACTGAGAGTGTCAGTCTGTTGTTATCACATACTACTGCTGACGATTTCAAGATAGGCGACATATCATTGCTCGCGTCCCCTTGCTTACGTTTAGTTGAATTACCTCTGAAAAAAAATAAATACATGGAATTCATGATTAAATCTGGAAAAATTGAATCCACGGTCATGGGCCGCAATAAAGTTGGGTGAAGAGAATGACAGCGAGAACCCACAAGCGATCGACAATGTCAATCGGTAATTTATGCTTGCTCAAGTTGACGTTTGTTCTTCGTGGATAGCCGCGTCCTTTCGAAAGTCGCTACAACAAAGCTTAACAGTTGGTAACTCACCTTTTTTCAGTTGGCGTTTTTGTTACTTTGAGCACTAGTTTTACACGACTGAAATCTGGTCTCTTTCTTTTTCTCCCTGGACATCGTCTTCTATTTCTCTTGCGACATTTTCTTCGCTTCTTTTTTCTTCTTGTTACTGGGTATGGAGTTCTGACAGATTTGTAACTGAGAGAGAGAGACGCACATGTTATTTATCTATCCCCCGTATTTCTTATGAAGCCACAGAATGTATTTATAAAGTATGCCTTTGCGTATAACTCCCTGGGAAGCCAAAATTGTTACTGTCCATGTCCAGCAGTGATCACGTTTTTAAAACTAGGTCTGAGCGTATTTCAATTGCCTGTAGTATTTTAATTATAAATCTTATTATCACATATTATTTATTTGTAATTTTCCAGTACGCATTCTATCTTCTTACTCCTTCGTGTTTGTATTTTTAGCTTATACGTTATTTATTGTAGTAGGTCCACATCAGCCCTTTGGCTGCCCTAATTCAAACTTACTTCATCAAATAAAGTATGTATGTACATGCGGGAAGGGCGGGCTAAGATTTTGCCACTAAATGATTATGGTTTCACTGATCTGTGTAAGGTTAGGCGGGGAACATTGCCCCAGTCCTCTCACAAAAGCGCTCGTGTAAGCTCTTCCTAGTCGTCTCTCGCGGTTTTCGGATTGTTTCTGACGGCTCAGTGTATCGACTTAGCGTCAGATGGAAGGTACGAAGCAGCGACCAATAACGAAATACAAAAGATTCGAAATACATTACAAAAAATACGTAAATTTTAAAGTGTTTTCCAGGTGATTATTCCATGTTTTATAACTTCTTAATATTGTCGCGCGCTGATTGGCTAAAAATCGTGTTTCTATTTAACAATTAGATTATGAGCTCGAGATTTCTATCACGCATAGATATCGAGAGCGAATAATCTAATTGTTTTAGTATAAATCTACTAGTCATTCAAAACTTTACCTAAATCCTTTACACAGACACTTCGGAAATGCCAAGAAGCGACCGTCATTTTGTTAACAAGGGCACACTGCTACGCTACTCACTATCTATCACAGAATAGTAGCGTAGCCAGTCAGAGAACGGCATTCGAGATAGAACGCTAGCAGATTCATACTAAAACTCGATAGAAACACGGTACATGTTTTCTATTTCTTAAATATAAATAAATTTTATACAAGGCGTCGTCTTCGGTGTCGCAGTCGTCATTGCTAAAACTCTCTAATTGTGATCAACGCAACGTGTATGAAACTGCTATTATGACTGATTAAAAAAAAAATAGAAATGATGATGATTTTAAATCCTCAAGCAAATAGCATTAACCCAATAGACAACCCCGACACAAAAGCACAATAAAGTAACCGACTATCGACTAAGTAATGCCCGTTCACTGGTTGATCACCGCAAGAATAAACACTTTTTCTTGTAAATGATTAAGAATAAAAATCAGCGATAATGATTTCGAATAACGTTTCGATGACTCGTTCATCATTTTCAAATTCTAAGTCAGATTCCTATGGATTCTTTATATACTAAGAATGCCTGTGAAAGTCTGCATGTGATTACAAGCTCTACAATGTGGAATGTAGAGGGTGTTAATTACGTACTAAATAGTTTTGCTTTAATTGAGTTAGATTGAGCGTTCAGTTTAGGTTTCTTTCCTTGGATAAAAAGCATTTCGACCAAACAAATGAAATCGGTTATTTCAAGCAAAGCAAATAAAATTAGTCATTTTAAGTAAACTTCGTACTTTGGTAACGGATCTTCTGGCTTCATATGATGTACTGCAAATCCTTCCCGTCTCATTATATCTATAATACTGTGATTTCCAAGAAAATGTCCTGCAGGAAAAAAAATACAGTACATTACGTTGATGGTAAACCTAAACCCTAATACCATGAGTCTTAAGATAGGGAGTCAATAGATCACCAAATTTTTTTAACGAAGACTATAATTTACTATGAATGGCAATAAATGAGCGTGGGAAAAAAAAGCTTGAACTGATCAGCTTGAAGCCCTGAATGGTGGAATCATTCTGCTGAGTTAGCCATCTTCTACTATTTTCAACGCCTTCTTCCACCCAGGAGAATACCAGCAACCTGACAAAAACTCGGGCAACCTAGCGTCCAAACCACAGAAAGAAACAACAAGCTCTTGTGATTCCTTTTTTTTAATAAATTTATCTTTACTTCGCAAGGAGAATGTAGACAGTCGATCTAACGTAAAGGGGCCATTTATGTCGGAATAATAGACTCCCCACCGCTAGAGTTCACTTGGCCGTAACCTCGCTAATTTGCCTCTAGCATTTAGAACACGAATAAGTTAGACTGAGGGGAATATTTTCAACGCAAAAATGAGCGAAATTAACAAACGACGTTTCGACTTCGTCGGATGTCATTGTCGAGTGTAAATGTGTGGGTTAGTTTGTGCATAATAAATAGATCTACAATTATGCGCATTAGGTGGCAAAATACGTTAAGTGACAAGAAAACAAGAAACGGTGACTATTAAGAAACTATGTTAATTAAACAAACAATTATGCTCTGATTGAGTCTTACTTAGTATTTAGTACTGACTTAAGTTCTCTGATATATAACATTTCGTATATCAGGCAGTCAATTGTAGATCTATTTACAATGCAAAAGGTAACCTACACATTTATTCTTGACAATGACATCCGACGATGTCGAAATAACGTTTATTAATTTCGCTAATTTTTGTGCAATACTGTGAACACAAACTTACCCGCACCAAACGCAAAAAAGAAATTACGTTCAGGGTTCTTGTTTAAAAGTTCAATGACTCTTTTTGCCATGCGTTCGTTCCTCTTGAAGATAAGCTCTGTTCTAAAATATTGATCGATTTCTTGCGTCTTCTTTAACTCTAACTGTCTCAGGGAAGAGTTAGAAGACATACTTGGGAGTCGTGTTGATTGAGTGGAGAACAGGACGGAGTTGAGGTCTCCGCAGTTATAATGATCTATGAGATCATCTGTAGAATAAGCTAAGTGTGCTTTACCAACCCGTAACTTCTCCTGGAAGTTCAAAGTTTGGTTTAGAGCAAACACAACCTGCAATCAAAAAGATAAGGATTTTAAGGTCTCGCCAAATCGATTTTGCAAAATATCGAGGAGAAACAAACAAACAACAATTCCTCTTAATACCGGTATTACTTTATATCTGATTGGCACTGAACTCATTAGACTTGCATAGATTATAAACAATGTCACTAACAAAGGCATTGCTCGCTACAGTGAAACCCCCAGTTGTGTCGGCTCAGTACATGGTGTTCTCTTAAGACAGGTGATATAATAATACTAATACTAATAATAATAATGATAATAATAATAATGTATTTCTAGCGTATTACATCATATTTTGTAACAATAGTTAATTATTAGCCCTTTTGAAATCGTCACGTTTATTTAAAGATAACCACATTTCATTGCATATCAATACAAAATAGGCCCTTGCTGGGGTCACGTGGCCAAATTTTTCCTAGAAAAATTTTATATTATGGGCTATAACTTACAGAGTGCCAGAAATGGAAAGAGCGCATCGAAAATACCAAAATGGCCAAGTTTGAGGCCCCTGGAATTAAAGAGTAAGTATATACAACACTTTGAATTTTGGGAAAATTTAGAGGATTTGTGTGAAAAATGTTGCTGGAGAGCAAGGCCTTGCTCTCCTACAACTTTTTCCATACAAATCGTCTTATTCTTTTCAAAAATTCAGACCGTCATAAAACCTCATTCTTTAATGACGGGGGCATCAAACTTGGCCCTAATGATATTTTGGACATGCTTTTTCAATTTCTGGCATTCGTTACGTTATAGCCCATAATTTTATGAACAGTAGGTCACGTGATGGGTTAGCTGCAAATGGCCTAATCTACGCTCTCTTCTTCTATCTTCGCTGGTTAAAATATAACGCCTGATCACAGGATATTGACAATCAAACGTCCAAATCCGTATTTTGTAACTGTAACAAGTCTATAAAAATATATATAGTGCACAGAAATTCGTAAAACTGGGATTATCAAGAGGACAGAGTGTACGACCAACCACTGTTCATAGCACAATGTCCAGTCAGTCAACGCATCAATTTAGAATATTCTACTTAGCTTTAAAACGACATCACTGAGCAATGTTAAGGAGTCTGAAACCGCTCTCAGCAGTAAAATGTCCTTGAAGTGTCCGCTTTATGCAGGCTTAATATTAGTGTCCGCGTCCGCTTAATAGAGGTGTAATCTGAATGCAGGTTTGTTTTACAGTAATCGCGGGACGACAATTTAGAGACTCTAGCTGGTGGGGTCCGCTTAATACATGTTTCACCGTATATTTTTAGCAGCCGCATTTGTTTGAATGCTCATACACTATATGGACGTAAAAGCAGATAGGGGTCAAGGTATCAGAAAAAAAAGGATAAAAAAGAGAAAGGGAAGGAACGCTCTTTCAGTTAAATGAAACAGAAATTGACCACAGCGAATGGTTAAAGTTTTTCTTGCGGGAGTCAAATACTTCACAGGGAGCCGCATGGACCAGATAAAAGGTTTCTGCCGGTATTAGAAAAAGAGTCATTTGAGGCATTTCTAGTCTATGTACGTGACTTATCTCGTAATAATCACTGTTCACAGCGTCAGGTGGAACATGTTCATCCTACTTGTGTTGATCCCCTGATATTCAGTCAAGTAGCCCTTTTAGTAAAATGCTATGGCTACGACAAATGATCACTATTGACTTAAAAACTCTCGCTTCTGTTTGAATAACAAGCTTCTTAACCATGTCTGTAGTTAAATGAGAAAAGCGAACATTTTATGTAAAAATTTACTTGTTTGAACATTGGTCTAGTGAGATTATACATAACGCGAAAAATAAGCATGTCAGTAATTCATATCACGAGATCTCTTACGACATTTAAGTAGCTAACCGTTAGTACGAGTAGATATCAAAGTTCGATGAGCATAGTGAGATAATCACGTACATACTAAATACATCGTTTATCTTCCTATTGCAGCTGTAAATACTGAACTGATTACTCATTTTATCGTCCACAATATGCATTTTATCGCACTCCTTAGTATTAATATGCCCTAAGGTTCCTGATATACAGAGATGGGTAAAGTAGCTGCTTGTTAACAAGTTAGGAAATGTGGTCAGTTTAATTAAAACAAATCGCGCTGGGTTTGTCTGTCAGCTGTTGTCCGTCATATGTGCAGCAAAAATCGATGTTCTTTGGTGTCAAGTGCCTTCAGCCTGCTAGTTCCTGCTGCATACTGTAACTCTAAACCATTTGTTTTGTACTTATAACAACTTAAAAATCATTGTTGGGCAACAAGTAATAACAATTTTCTTGTTTAAACAACAGATAAAACTAATTTCAACAGAACCTTGAACCTTGGGTTATTAAAATACTATTACGTAGCGCTGTCGTCCAGATTGTCACTCATGTGTACGGGGTGTTTCGGTCAAGAGTCTTTTTAATTTGGAACATCAAACAGCACCGCCTTTCATCACAAAAGTCAATGAACATAAAGGCAGTAGAATAAATAACAGATTTACTACACAATCCTACAGACATAAGCATCTTATGCACAAACATTCGTTGCATTTTGAGTTGCCGAATAAAAATGCTGCTTTTGTTCGCTTGCCACGTTCAACTGGCAACAGAAAAACTACTTGACTAATGGGCAGGGGACGTGTTTGCATATTTAATAGATGTCATTTACAACTCCCTTCAAAACACGAGAACAAGTCACAGGAAGGAAGTCACGTTAGAAATAGCATAGTATTCCTTCAGATCTCTTATTTATTTACGTTGTGTGGTTTGGCCAGAGCTGAGCTTTGAGAAGTCTTACAAACAGAATGTAGCCGTTTGGAAGGGCACGCTCTTGATTTAATTAACACCATTGTCTACATAAAAGTTTGTTGACATAATAAAAGAATTGGAAAGCCGCTCATTGAAAAGCAACACGGATTTCATGGAATTAGGGGGAAAAATTATTTTTAGTCTTGCTTGGAATATTTTGTCTCCCAGGAACAAAGAATTGAAAAATATCTTTGCCAAACGCGGTAAGGAACTCTTTGAACAAAGAGGCGTGATGATAATGAAAGTTTAATGACACCACAGCTGTACCTTGTTATCATATCAAGCAAGCATGTAATGGATACTCCAGTCGGAACTTTTAAAACACAGGACGCCGAAAGGCAAGCCGCCACAAGCATCCGAGAGTGGTGACGTTAAGTCATCACGACCATTTCAAGAATCTTCTTCTATCCACTGAGTGACGCAAATCGATGGAGCTTTTCTTTTGATGCATAAGCACAAGTTCTCGTAATCTGCAGGATGATAATTTAAGCTTTTGGATGCAAAAACCGAATGAAAAGACAGGAAACTGTTTTGAGAACGACATGGGCATTTACAATCAGTCAGCGTAACAGCAGCAGTAACATCAGCGGACACTCAGGTCAAGCCACACGAATATAAATCGATCTTGGATACGACAAGCGATCAACTTTCATGTCACTTTAACATTAACTTAGCTATAAACAGACTTTTCTTTTGCCTCCAAACTCTTGACAAAACATTCCACAAATTCATTTAAAACCCACTATGAAAAGCACCATTAACAAAACATGATTAAGAAGTTTAGCTCACTGTTTTGACAGTGTAAATAACAAAGCTCAATATAAACATAAATGCCCCCTTTTACGCGTCCGCACTAAGTAAGATAATCTTGCTATTCTGCTCACTTATGCAATCGAAAGATTTCAACGCTATCTCTGAAAGCTAACTATAGAAACGGCGTGCCATTGAGTTATAACTGACCTAGTAAATTGTTACATGATAATAGAATTACCAAAGCCGACTCACGCAAAGAAATACAGAAAATTGAAGATAAAACGCAACCTAGTTGAGATCACGCTTCAGTGAAGCTTGAACTCTAAACCACTAAGTACGCAATTTATTGCAGGCCACCGTTCCATGCGCGAGAAATGAAAGATACAACAATTAATCGTCGCGTGCATTTTGACTTAAACATTTAATGTTGTCAGTTTCAGGTAATCCATTTTTGTCGGCAGTAAGCTGGATTCCGTTAAGAAATTTTGACTTAGAGAAGATTTGAAGGATTATGTGATTCTCACTCTACAAACCTGTGTATCGTTTAGAGAATTAAGCGGCAGGCACTGTTCCTCCACTTCCTCCACGGCTCCCGTGAATTTCTCGTTTCTGGCAGCTTCCGAAGCAAGATACTGATCCAGAACAGGTATTCCTCGACTTTTAATGTCGCTTTCCGTCAAAGAATTGACCATAAGCATAATCCATATCGGTCGCTTTTGCTGCCAGTCTTTAGTCAAAAGCTGAAATATTTTATCGGCGTAGGGCGCCATTCCTTTGCGATATTCTCCTTCGTTGTCTCTCAACCAGACTGGGATCATTTTCTTTATGTATCTTAAATGCCTAGAAAGGCGTCGATACATTTTTCGAGGTAACACGTCCTTAAGAAGTCCTCCCTTGGGTAGCATTTGGCATTTCCAAAGAGCATTGATTGTAAGCTTGTTAGTCAAGTCAAGCTCAAAATATACGTATTGGCTCGTGGTAAACGCTGCTTTGCTGTTTGTGGGAATGTAGTCCCATACTCTTGTGTAAGGTACATGGATTGTACCAAAGAAGTAAGCCGGCGGATTCCTTTTCACTAGCCACAAAAACGAGTTGAGGTTCTCTTGAACCTGTAAACACGAGTACAAATGAAATATGCACAACGTAATTATTCTTGAAAGCACAATAGAACAGTGATCTATAAGAATTTAAGTGCACACATTAACGCACACAAGCAAGAGATCTTGAAATCTGTTACCGCGTAATCCGTGCAAGATCTTTTGGAAGGTGTGCGGTCCGGTGTTGCATTCTGGCTCTGGAGAGGTGACTCCGTTACCTGCAGGTAGAGAGGAGTACAAACAAGGCATGTTATGATTAGTAAGTGATGAAGTCCTATAGTCTTAACTTGATCCATTTGTCAACTTACAACGAGTAGTAAAACCCATAAAAGGTTCGAGGAGAACGCCATCCCTTCATCCTAACCACTGGAATTAACTTTACCGCAGCAGCTACAGGCTTCTTCAGTTTATCAGAGTCGGCGACGGTCATCTGGCCTTCATAGCTCAGTAACAGACAATCTTTAAATCTCGTCAGCTCCGGCTCAAGCGCTTTGCGGTCTTTGCTCGGGTTAGGAACTTGAATGCTGATTGGCTTAGCTCACCTCGTAATTGGCGCACAGTTAATCTTGTGGGGCGGGTCGACACTGAACACAATAGGCATGTCATTAGCCTTGACAGCAGACAACCCGCCTGACAGTTGTGCGTTTAATTGGGGTGCTCACCTACATGGCTGCGCCAGCTTGTATGACAAAACGTGATCTAATAAGCTATCTTCTGCTTGACTGGCGCGCTGTCTCCATATCAGAAAAAATCCGAAATTAAGCAGCTACATAAATTTTATGTAATTGCTGTCCACATTCAGGGTTCACTTAAGTCGAATAGTGCAGGAATATTCCAAACACGCGAGTCGTTTACTGGAGAACCAACAGCAAATGACACGGACTATTTTTCTTGACAGCTATTGATAAGAGGTTCTCTGTTGACTTTGTTTAATATCATACTCAAAATAGAAAGAGTTCAAATTTTCGAAACAACGCGCTTGCGTTAAAATGTTCGCTCGTGAAGGCAAACTGCCCAAAATTCTAAGTTTGTAAAACTCATTGGAAGCTCACTTAGCATGACTTTGAACACCAGCCGTGTTCCCGCAACGATAGAAAGGAGAGGGGGTGGTGAAGGAGAAGATCAAAAGGATGGGAGCTGCGAACCATGCTGTAAACTGTAAGACGTCACTTGATAGCGGCTTACGAACAACGGGAAAAACGCACACATGGAATGTGTATCAGTCAGAAAGTCGTGTAGGAAATTTTCAGAACAACTTTGACAACTTGCCTCGCGATGAACAGTAACTAGTCCATAAGAAGTCCATATGCAGAGATAAAGAAGTCCATAAGAAGTCCATATATAGAGACAAGAGCTGTTATGATAGACATAAAGCTTAGCGTGTATTGAGTTTAGATCTTGGAACGAACAAGGGAACTGTCCGTGATAGAGAAAGTCCATAATATGGATATTGGTCTGAACAAGATGTCTTGATCATAGAAATACCATTTTTTTTATATTGGTTTGGTCTCTTCAAAACCTAAAAATGTGTTCTTGTGTTTACTTGAAGTAATTTTGTTGCAAGCTACGCCTCATTTGTAGTCTAGACGAGGATGGTAACTCAAGCCGAATTGTTTAGGCCAGGTCTAACAAGCCATACTTATCATGGTCTGAGCACGTGGCGGGACCGGTAAATGATCAATTAGCCGCGCGCGGCAGCTTAACTGTTTTGCCTCGTAAAATTGGCTTGTGTGGGAAGAAGAGCCTTGTATCTCTTAGCTAAATACCATTGCCTATAAATAAATCGTCAAACATTTCGGCGTTTGAAGTTCAAAATCAGGTGGAAAACAAAAGACGGAGTCCTATAATAAGGTTCTTTTTGAAAAGAACCTACATTCAGTTTCTGTAAGCTCTCTCCATTCGTTTGAATCATCCAAGACAACCAAAACGCCGATTAGTAAAGCAAATCCATTAGGAAATATTGGAAAAGAAATTATAGCTCAAAATTACGTGGAATGCATATCAGTTAATAAGCCCCCAGGAGTGTGAGAAGCAGATAAAAGTAAATAGATTATTTTAAGCAGTTCCATTATTCCCAAGAATTTTGAGAGAGGATGTACATACATGGTTGGCGGTTAGGAAACATGACAAGGGAAATGCTATTTCAATTTTCAGGCTTGCGTTTCAAAACTGCAGATCCTATCAATGGCATAAAGTTATGAAAAGATGCAAAGTATCTATATTCAGCATGATCTGTAAGACTTAGTGGTAAGTTATGATTTCGTTTTCAGGAGTAAAATGCATAATCCTACACTTCCGACTAAAACAGATCCTTATCCCCGAATAAGTCCAGAATGAAAATTGAAGATAAAAATTATTTGACCTTAAGGTGGCTCCATAGGGTAATCATTTATCGCGTTGCGCGCACTAGTGTCACGTTTTGAATGCTGTTTTCCTCTCAAACTTATAAGGTGGCCGAACACAGTTTTCGCGCGTGCTCTCGCTAATGCGACTCAGCGCGCGCACAAGGATTACAAAACTTGATTGACATTTTACAATAACTGTCTAATTTCTCGCATATTTGTTGGCTCATTTTTATCATCAATAAGAGTACAGACGGATAAAATTTTAATTTATGCAAACTTTAAAGTTCAACTTTCAGGTGTCAAACTGTCAACTTTTTAACCAATGAGATTTTATTGACTTTTTTAAGTAGCCAATCAAAAAGCGAGAAAAGCTATTGACAATGTTCGCGTCATTATCACCTATCTTTGTTTACGGCAACTTTACGGCGTCTTTTCCCCTCATTTATTTCTGCGGAATTTCACCATTTTGGGTCTTCTTATTGTAAAAAACAAATTGACGTCAGTTTTTTTATGCGTCTGTCCTCTTATTAAAGATAATTTGCGTCATGACATTTTCAAAGTTGACTGCCGAACCACAGCCACACTGTTACGACGCAATTTATCATCATACGTGTAAAATTTATTATTAGACGCATAGACTGACGTCATTTTGTTAAGTCGTCGATACAGCGATCATTTTATTTGGTCAATGCCCGCGCTATATGTGCTATTTTTCTTCATAATTGAACAAAATGTATTTATGGTTTTAGTCTTTTCCGTAGAAAGGTATGTTAGAAAAGGTAGCGAATGCAAAGAACCCAGCAATTCTCCGATTTTTCCTTGTTACCGAAAGAACCCTGTTAAATGCAGCGCATGCGTAGTAAAACAAAAATTGCGATTGAACGCTGAATGGCTTCTCGGAGATACAAGAACCACAGATCAAAATTTCACGAAATTTGGCACGAAAATACTTTAGGAAATAAGTAACTAGAGTATTGAACAACAATTGAAATTTAACAAAGGAAATTCTAGATACTCCAGTCAACCTTCTACATGGGGTAATTTTAAAAGATCTCTCTGCTAAACTATTATAAAAATAGTGTTAACTCGTGAGCGTCGTTACAAGCTTGCTGCTTGCAAATGATAAAGAAAATCAATTTTCTCCTGAGAAAATCTAATGACTAGATTTTCCGCAAATGAACAAAACCGATTTTAAGGGCCTGTTTTTATTTATTCATGTTGCACATACGTCAGCTTAACTATCAAAAAAACAAAGTTTGTTTTGTTAACTTGCGTGTTGCCATTTCTGACGACCAAAGGATCAAGTGTTTTAGAGAAAAACACTGGTGTCAAAAACGGTGTTCAGCCACCTTAAATGTCATAAGCAATCAGTGATAAAATAGTGTTTTACTATCATCCCTTTTAAGTCTTGAATTATAAATACCCAAACAAATGTCTTTTTTACCTTTTTGATGGCATTATTTGTGATGTTCTTGAATTTCCTTCGGTGAAATCTTCGAAAATTTTGACAATACATCGAATTGGACGGCGTAGAATTTTAAACTCGTTAAAACTAGTGTTTGTACCGGCAGTTTTTTAGGTTTTTGCAAACTTATGCCTATTACCGCTGCGGAAAAACTGGTCAGATAGATTTCCCTGAAAAACGAGTTGCAACTAAAGTAAATATTTACTACCAATCTGCAAATTTTACGGAATTTCACCGAAGGAAACGCGAGAAAATTAACTGTCAGTTTTGCTTTTTGTGCTCATGTTGACGTCATAAAATATCCAAAAGCACTGACGTTTTCCTTCGAGCGCGGGCAGATTACTTGAGCTTTGGTGCTCAGCGCGCGTGCTATCGTTAAACTATAGGGAGCCACCTTAGTGACTGGCCCATCGGGAAACAGTGAGTTTTGTTTTCCCGAGAGCATATGTTAAGGGTCTCGGGGAAACAAAACTCTGTCTCCCGAAGGGTCAGTCATTAAGTGTTTTGTTATACCTCATGACTCAAAAATAGAAAAAATACCGCGAAAAAATGATTTGTTTGACGCCTACGGTGGCTGTGCTTGCAGCACGAGCGGGAGTCAAACCGAGCTGTCCTACCGAAACGACACGATAACAGTCGTTTTCTTCGCAGTTAACAAAAATAAAAACAATACTTAAGTTGCTTTGCCTTCTTCTAATGCTTAACTCGAGAGTTCTGGGTTTGATTTGACGAGGAACAGCATATTTTGTTGTAAATGACACGACTATTTTCCTACCTGGCGAGTGATGACAGCGATCGAAGAGCGAGTTGCCGAACGCGGGCGACCCATTTTTGGCGCCAAATTAAAAGCTTGAAGACACAAAATGTTCAAATTTTCCCCTTTGTTAATCTGATATGTTTTTGCCGAATTATAAATTTCTCTTCTTGAATATGAATGCTTTCTCTAGTGAGAAACGTTGCCCGACTTCAATGGCTGCTTGACATCAGGCCGACTGGCACACAAATTTGCCGCCGTTTCAAGGTGCACGTCCGGCTTTTTGGCACGTGACACGTTCTCCTCCAATCGGAAAACGTATTTGAGATGGGAGGTATCTACTTCTACACCTTTCTACACAGTTAAAAAAGTGGAAGAGTATGATAAGGCTACTTGGCTGGTTGACTAGATACGAATACCCTTTCCATGGCGATATCAGTGACTGCAGAACTCCCACTCTTGTGTGATCTCTTTTCTTCTATTCATCCTTTGTTCATATCATTTCGCCATGTTCATATTTGTTTTATACAGTACTGTACAAACAATAGCGAAACGCATCGTTCGAATTCTCCTCAATTATCCTGGCCGTTTCTCTTCCAAAAAATTTCACCATGGCTTGAATCAAAAATTCAAATAACTCATCAATTAGTGATTTTCAGTATCTTCTTTTCCGGCAGTCGAGTACAGTCAAACCTGTATTAGGCTGACACCTTCGGGAAATGAAATGCGCCATTTATATATGTTCACGTGGAATCACTATACCACAAGGACAGCACCGCCTCTTGTAGTTCTTGTTGGATCAACAAAGTTAAGCCCTGTTCGGCGGGGATCCTACTTGGCTGCAAGAACTGTGTCTTATGTAGTACAAACCACCAAGCTTGTTTCGGGAACGCTCTTTGCGAATAACTTATTTCTTTATTTAATTAAATATTAATGATTATTAAATAAAGTAGTTAAATTTCAGTCTTATAATGTAAATGAGGTAGTTAAATATTATTTATTGTAAATAGTCAAATTTTAGGTGTTTAATTTTAATAACTTTTATTTCTTTTAAGTGTCCCCTATTAGTAGAAGGTTGTTACCCTTGGCTAGACTTCTTTGACACGTTAATAAAGTTTTCATTTCATTTCATTTCATTTCACCAAGTACGAAAACAGTACTGAAAAAAACCCGCGTGTAATACGCTAGTGGTTTAAGGACGTTCGCGCGAAAATTTTCCAGTCGATAGATTTTTTAAAAATTTTGTCTGCGGTCAGAGAATGAGTTACTGTTGTCAGAATGCAAAAAAAATTTGGGGGTCACCGACTTCGTTTCAGAGATAAAACGTGTGGAAAACTACCCTAATTTTGAAAATTTGGCGCACATAGTTCAGCGTGGTCTACAGGGGTTTCTAGTTAAAAATATTGGAGGTGAGTCAACGGAGGCAAACGATCTTGGTGATATTTTGCAGAAGTGGGTCTGTTGCGTAAATAATTCCAAATTTTACCAACGTTTTCACAAAACTTGACCCTTCAAAAGGCATTTAAAACCGTCGCACAGATAAACGAAGAGCTAAAAAGAACGGAATTCGATGGTGCATTTCGCAAAAATTCAAACTTCTAGTCGATAGATTTTCATTTTCTCGCTAAACGTAGAAAATCGGTAGAGGAAATGATTCATCAAAAGAAAAATAGGGGTCACCGAACGTCCAAGATAGTTAAATCCAGGAAAAGCTATAGCAATGGCCATCTGCCCTATCACTGTTCATTTTATTGCTTAGTGCGAGTGCTCATGCATGGCGTGGCGTGTGAATTTGCGTGCGCAATGAGGATGCGCAGAAACAATTAGCGCGAACGTCCTTAAGAACCTGCTGCCAAACATTTTCCATTTTAATACCCAAAAATATAAACAAAGCCAAGCAAGATCAAGCAGGTTTTTATGTGCGGGTTACAGTTGATTATGATAAACATTTTAAGAGTGTGGTTTTGAAATTTCAAATGTATACTTCAATAGAGTGAATTATACAGTTGTGAATAATTACTTTATATTTAAGGACCAAACTCAAGTTTTTTTTTTTCTGGTTTTCAACACCTATATCTCCTTTAGAGCTGTTAAGAACTCAATTAGGAACCTTGTTAGCCTACCTCAAAAGACAAGAACCTATTTTGCCAGACTTCAAGAAATGTAGTTTCTTACACGCGGGTTTTTGCTGTACCCCGTTGTTATGACGTCTTTTTTTTTTTTCTTCCCTTCACAAGGCAATATCAGTGACTGCAGAACTCCCAGTCCTGTGTGATATGTTTTCTTCTAGCGTGAAACCTGTATTAAGTGGACACCCTCTATTAAGTGGACACCAGCTCGAGTCCCAAAATTTTCTTCCGACATCTACTGTAAAATAGACCGGCATTCAGCGGACCCCTCTGTAAAGCACGCGGTTTCGCGTTCAGCTCGAATAATAGCGTAAATCCTCGAATTAGCACCCTCCCCCCCCTTCGAATAAGCGCCCCTCTTATCGGCCAAAATTTAAAATAAGCGCCCCCTCCCCCCATTTTGTGGACGAGTAATGAGGCAACAAAGGGTGTATAGTTTTCGTCATGTAGTATTAGACTTGTACATTGTTTCAGTTGGTCAACAGTTAAGTACTGACGGTGCCGCGATTTAAACTTTAGGATCAGCTTTTTATGTCAATAAACAGCTTATGTTGGTGTTTACGCGCAGATGATATATTAAAGAAATGATATCGTCCGGCTACGATTTGGGAAAAANTCCTAAATTTGAAATAAGCGCCCGGACGCTAATTCGAAGATTTACGGTACTTGAACTTCGCTACGACTGCGAAAGCCTTCTACATTGGTCAGCGGATTCGATCACATAAAGTCTAAAAGACGGAACGGAGGATAGAGCGAATCTACCGTCCATACCTACAACTTGGATTTTCCAAGGTTAAAACTGTAGTAACCACCTTAATAGGCACATTGGTATAAAATGACCAATTTTAGCTAGTACGTTATGTTTAAATAGTTTAACGCAGATTTGTTTTTCACTTCAAATGAACTGTGCATTTAATAGTTAAGATGGTGTGTGTTTTCTTGTTTTTGATGTGGATGCCGAACATCCTTCGTTTCTTAGTTAAATATTTATTTTTCACAGAAAATTAGCTGTTCTTTGAAACAATAGAATTGTTAAAAGTTTATACCCCAGTGGCTAAATAAAGTGTTTGTCAATACCCAAAACTGAGGCAGTAGGGAAGGTATGTGAGAAAACAACATAAAACCCCGGTTTGAATTTTCTTTTACAGACGGGAAGATTCTTCAAAGTAAATAAGTAATAGATAAATATTAAATAAATAGATAACATACATATATACATGGATGCATGAATGCATGCAAATTCACCCAACAACCAGAAAAAATCTACTGACTAACTAATCGGTCTGGTAGACGGTTAACTGTCTAGATAGTTGATCAGGTACAATGTAAAGGGTAACAGCAGACACAAGAATAACAAAAAAGTACCCCACCCTTGAAAGTTACTGCCGCTGATGAATGAAGAATATGAAAATCAGTGATACTAAAGAAAGTCTCATATTTAGACGAGTGCGTAATTCAATTCATTATCTAGTTTGTAAAGGCAACACAGTTTATTTAAAACAGTATAGACAAAGCCACATAAAAGTTGTCCTTGACAACAAAATTACATTGGGGACAGGATTGAGCAGGGAGCAAGGAACTTACACTGGAAGGAACCTTAAAGGCATTGGTTAGTTTCACAGGTTGTAATATGAATTTGAGAGAATCATCGGTGATCAAGTGAAACCCTCACATTTTTGTATACAATGCATCATAAACTTTGTTACACTCGTAAAACGTGTTAGGTACGGAAAAGCCACTGCTTTTAAAATAACAAAAGATGTAGGAGGCACCGTTACAGGAACTGATAACTTTACGATGCTTGCTACAATTCATGTGATACTAGAGGAAAAGCAATACAACTCAGACAAATGTTAGTCACTATCACTGTCGTAATCGCCTGCACTGACAGGCTTCTTCTTGTAGCTCCTGGACTTTTTCTTGGATCGTCTACTTGAACTATCTTCTCTTTCGTCTCTACCTCTGTCCTCTTTATCATCTCGTCTTTCACTCTCAGAGACAACTTCATCCATTTCTTCCTCCTCCACATATTTTGGCCTCTTTTTCTTACCCTTTTCATAATCAGAACCATCACTGTCTCTCTCTGTACTACCATGCCTCTTACTTCTTTTCGTCTTTTCCTTTTCCTCATCACTTCCTGCTGAGACATAGATCAAAGCAGTTTTAATGGCTAAAAAAATAGCAGCTAGTGTGTTGGACCCTGAATTTGAGCCTAATTGAATATTTGTAGTGTAGTTCAAACATCAAAACAGACAAACAATAGTAACGACGACCGCTACTAAAATATAAATTGTTTGGTACAATTTTTTTTTCTAACAATGCCACTTGAAATCACCACTAAAACAATGAGCACCTGTGACATGTTGCCAAAAATTTGCTGTTAATTGGTGATGAGATTTGCAAATTTGATATAGTTTTTTAAAAATACAAGTTAACTATTCAAATAGTTTCTAATGTTGTTGGGATTTAGCAGCTGAGAAGCCACTTGATATTGAAAGGTTGTATTACGTTATCATTTTAAACCAGTAAGAACTCAAATAACTTCAATTCAGGTGCAGGGCATATTAAAGATGGCATCACATCACAGAGCATCGTCATGATTAATGATGATGAAAATAATAAAGTCATAATAAACAACCTGGATAGTCTCTTTCTTTGTCACTTTCTTCATCAGCACTTTGTGAGCTGCTGTACTTTTTCTCTCTCACTTTTCGCTCTTTTCTCTTCTTATGATGACCTCTGTAAACAAAGCTTAGTAATAAATGTTCAAAATCACAGAAGTTTATCTGACGACCCTTAAACTTTGTCAGACACCAAGATACAAGATACACCGAGATGCATGTTGATTGCCCTTATTCTACCACAGACAAAGTTCTGTACAAAGTGACCCAAAGATGCTGCTACTTCTTTGGACAAAAGAAACCCCATTGTGAGGGTAATACTGTGGCGAGTAGCAAAAAAGATAGGAGCATAAACAAATAACAACAACAGTGACTAACACTAATTGCGAATACAGAATGAACCCACCTTGAAGAACCTCTCTTTGGTGATGGTGACAGAGACTGACTTCTTGACCTCGCCCTTTCTCTTTCCCTCTCCCGCTCTCTTTCTCTTTCTCTCTCCCGCTCTCTTTCCTTTTGTTTTTCCTTTTCCCGTTCCCGTTCCCGTTCCCTTTGTCTTTCTTTTTCCCTTTCCCTCTGTTTCTCTTTTTCCTTTCTTCGCTCTCTTTCCTTTTCTATTTCTCTATTTCTCTCTTTGTCTTTAGATCGTCTTTTTTCAGTCCTCTCTTCAGAGCTTTCATCCTTATCAGCAGCCTCGGACTTCTCCCTCTGGGATTTCTTTTCTTTTGATGGTGACCGCTCAGGTGAAGCTGTTCTTTTCCTTTCCTTTGACCTATCAGGTGATCGGTTTGGTGATCTGGAACGGCGGTCCCTAGACCTTGAACGACGACCTCTTCTTCGCTCCCTTTCAAGATATCAGGAATAAAATAATCTCATTTAAAAACCTGATCAGACGTTCAGAGAGCTACCATGAGTAAAACATCACCATATTTTAATCCTAAAAGAAATGCACTGTCTTGCATCACTTTGAGCTGCTGTAAACCTTTTTGTCAACACACATTTGAATAATAACCAGTTAGCAGTGTGCAAAGAAAACAAATTATCGGGCAAGCTCTAACTATGACGTACTAGCCCAAAAATCATTTTCACTAGTTCTCAAAACTCCGTCTCTTACTGTATTCTGTAATTATAAGAATTTGCTCAAACATTTTCCCAAGAAACTATACTTGCCATGTAAAATCCACTAACCCGACTGGAAAATCTTCTAGTCTCGGGCTATTGGAGAGAACTGGTAGAAATTTAATACATACCCTCATAATTTTGGGATGGGAGTGCGCCACCCAGAGACTTGAAACAGAAATATTTGAATTTTTTCCCACAGGGTAAGAAAACACCTGTTGTTAGCTTCGAGGTAATCAAGGAATACACTATTGAAAATTTACAATCTGTAGTGTTATTTTCTGTAAGTCTCAACTTCAACACTGTAAGTGTAATTATTAAACGGTAGTTTATCTTGGTGACCTATTGCGCCGAGTGTTCCATTCAAGAAAAGAACAGAAAAAATAATTAACATCTATCTTGGGGAAATAAGGAAAAATCTACTTATTTTTTTTTCTGCAAACATAAATGGAACTTGTACAAAGTGATATCCGAAGGTTTCAAAATTTCATTTTCACAGCCAGTTATCAGGAATATGCTGACAACCATTTTAGCTTTATAACCAAAAGATACTAGTGTTACAAAATTGAAAGCATGGCATTTCCATGAATGCACACGACATTTCACCAGGTGGAATTAAAACACTGAAAATACAAGTATCTTCCGTGTTTCGGTTTGGTTTAAGAGTCATTTTTAGACTATTTTGAGACTATTTTCTTGTTGTTTCCAGCAAAATAGAATTTGCTGTAGTAGATACAGTGGAACCTCGATATAACAAAGGGCCAAGGGACGGGCAAAATATGTTTGCTATAACGAGGTTTTTCAATATATTTTATTATTATTCAGGCCAGGAAAATCGTTTATTATACCCAGGACTTCTTAATATAGAGGTTCGTTAAATAGAGGTTCCACTGTACTAATACAGTTGATCCTGCCGTAAGCGACCACCCAAAATGTCAAACCTAGGTGGTCACTAACGAGAGCTTAGACCACAGTAGGTCAAAATTTTGTCTCATTAGCATATGGTAACTGCGGAGACTTACCCCATGTTTTAAATGTTTCATTCATGTGAAAAGTCAATTTCGAGAAAAAAATTGGTACTTCGCATAGATAAATTTCCATGTCTTGTGCTACCATGAATACAATTACGTTACAACACTTTATTATCCAATTTACGCTCTATTATCTGTCGAGTGGTTGCAACAACATCAACTTAACGGAGGTTAAAAACAAAAGAAAATTATTTCAAACTTTTAGCTCACTTATGAGAGGTGGTCGCTAACAAGAGGTTCCAAATATAGTGATTTGACTTGAGAAGTTTTGGTATTTTGAAAAACTGGTCCTTGAGGAGAGGTGATCACCTACAAGAGGTGGTTGCAACCAAAAGTTTCGACTGTATTAACGTCTCACGAAACCGCACAGACTACATGCGACTTTACCTGCTACGAGAACGTCGTGAACTTTTATGTCTTGATGAAGACCGAGATCTGCGACGTCTTTCCCTATACCTGTCCCTTAAAAAACAAAATCAATAATAAAAGTAATCTAATTATATAAGAAAATAAGACAGTATGCAAATTTGAAATAATTTTTTGGAACAAAAACACTTGTCAAGTGTGAAACCCTTGCACATGTGTTTAAACAACGTTTCGATTAAAATCAGTCAGAGCTGTTGACGGATCAAATTTTACTCCTACTTTTGGTATATACACAAAATAGTCTTAAATTTGGGAGCACCTGTTCGACTGCAAATGCGAATGATCAGTTCATTGCTTCAGTACCCATTTGCGCACAATGGCCTGGCAAATGTCACCCCTCTCATGGAATACACTGGTCAGCAGAATTTCCACAAAAAACGTTTTGACCCAACCACTGACTGGCTGACTGAGCGAGTGATTTTTCCCCAAGTTACTTCTATAACTCCAGAATAATTAAAGCTGCTGCTGCTAAGACTTTGCATCGCCCTTGATTAATATAAATATGACAACCCTCAACTATGGAACGCCAGAACTGTCTTATGATACTTTTTTTTGTTATATTGGGTGGTTATGTCATTATATTTAGTACTTATGTTATTATATGCGGTGATTAACTCATTATACTCGGTGCTTATGTTTTTATATGCGGTGCTGTCTTCATTATATTCGGTGCTTATTCCATTATATTCGGTGCTTCCCTCGTTATATTCGGTGCTTTCTTCGTTATATTAGGTGCT